GCAATCCTCTTTTCTTGGCCTCCCAAAGTACTGGGGTCACAGGCGTGAGCCACTGCGCCTCGTCAAATTATAAAACTTTTATAACACTATCTTTATGAAAAAAAAAAAAGTTCCAGTTATGGTATCCAGAGAATAACTTATCTGACTCCAGTTACAATTCAATCCATTCTACACATAGGCCAGAAGGGTGTGGGGGAGCAAGGCGGATGAAGAGAGGTTGGTTAATAGGTAAATCATACAGTTAGATGGAGTAAGTTCTAACGTCTGATAACAGAGGAGGATGACTATAGTCAACAACAATGTACTGTATATTTCAAAGTAGCTAGAAGAGAGGACTTGAAATGTTCCCAACACACAGAAACGATAAACACTCAAAGTGATGGATACCCTAAATACCCTGACCTGATTATTACACACTGTATGAATATAACAAAATAACACAAGTACCCTACCCCATAAATGTGAAAATATTATGTATCAATTTAAAAATTTTTTAAAGATTCAATTATTAATTTATTCAACATTTACCAAGCGCCTATTATATAACCAGGCACAGTGTTAAGCAAAAGTAACAGTGTTAAACTGATGGGATCCCATTCAACTCCTGCCTGGCTCAGAGCACTACAGTATGAAAAAAGAGCTGGGACTTAGAGGTCAGACCCATCTAGTTGCAATCCCAGCTCTACCACTTACTGTCATTAGGAATGTTACTTACCTTTTCTGAACTTCAATCTCTCTATCTTCTAAAACAGGTCAAATAGGGCCTCCCTCAAAGTGCAAGAGTTAAATAAGATAAATCAGGTAAAGCACAAAGCATACTGCCTACCACACAATCAGTATTCAATAATTACTTCCTATTAGTAATAGCAAACTATAAGTCTTCATAAAGCAATCAAGAAGTTGGAAACTGCTACTAAGCCTATAAAAAGCCACTATAACTGCAATTGTGAGAGCACAGAAACCCCTCAAATGGCCGGGAGCGGTGGCTCACGCCTGTAATCCCAGCACTTTGGGAGGCCAAGGCAGGGAGATCACGAGGTCAGGAGATTGAGACCATCCTGGGTAAGATGGTGAAACCCCATCTCTACTAAAAACACAAAAAATTAGCCAGGCGTGGTGGCACATGCCTGTAGTCCCAGCTACTTGGGAGGCTGAGGCAGGAGAATGGCTTGAACCCGGGATTTGGAGGTTGCAGTGAGCAGAGATCGTGCCACTGCACTCCAGCCTGGGCGACAGAGCAAGACTCCGTCTTAAAAAAACCAAAAACCTCAAATTCTGGCTTTCTCTTTCTCCAGCATTATCTCCTACTACCTATATAATCTTTAATGCAGCTCCATGTCCCCATGAGTGGGGACAGACTGAAAGATGAGATCTGGGCAGCAAACAGGGCAGTGGCAAGCCAAAGGTCACTGCAAAAAAGAAAATTCATCAGCTACAGCTCTGGCAGGACACACAGGTGGTGGACAGAAGAAGGGAGGAAGGAAGGAGATGGGAGGGGAAGGGAGAAGGAAGCAAGGGGACGATGAGGAAAGGGGGGAAGAGGGGAAAAAAGGAGAGAAAGAATGAGAATATGAATGAACACAAAAGGCTAATAATCCAGTAATATGAAAGCGTAGGCCAAGTTTGCATGTAATGTGTCTCTAAAAGGAAAACACTTCAGTCAGCACTTTTACAATTCATTCTGCATTTCTTTCATAAAAATGAATTTAAAAATAAGTTAAATATCATCAGCGTCATCAAAAGAAAAACAAATATGGAGTAACCATATTATTACTACAGCCTGAGAAATTTGCCTAGACATCAACGTCAGTACCTAAACAAGAAAAGAAAGCATTCAACACACATAATCACTCAAAGTATAGTTTAACAGCAAACAACATTTGAGAGTTTTGGTTTTCCCTAGAAAATATAGAATAAATTCTCATATAATATGAAAGAGCACATTTTACTGGACCTGTTTTGAAGCAAGTTATCTGTGAACTCAGGAGCTACTTTCACATAAGGAGTTTACTAAAAGTTTAAGTTTGTGTCTATGTAAACAAGAATCTACTTAGCACACCAGTGGGATCTACAGCTTTTCCCAAGATTTCTGTCACAGGATGGAAGCAAAGGCATTCTTGTAAGTTCACGGAATGATTTAAATTTTGACCAAGCTTACATTTGTCTTAATGTAACGCAAGGGGAAAAAAAGGCTAAACTATCATCAATTTAGTGCTAGAGAAAAATTAATGTTACTATGCTCGCTGTGGTTACTGATTATAGGGTCCAGTTCTGTGTTCAAGTCATGGTTTTACTCCATAGAAACTCACAGAAGACTCAGCTTACCGATACACAAAATAAAATGATTAAGAAGCTTTTTAACAGTCCTTCCAACTCACATTCCGATTCAGAGTTTGAAAATCTTTAAAAGAGAATGCTTCTTAATGGTCCTTTGAATGGAGAATGAAATAAAGGCCTCTAGAAAAATGACGTGTCAAATTATAGGTTTACAGGTTTGAAATAGCATTCAGTGACATAGTCTTGAAATCTGTGCCTAAGGATTGTTTCAGACTACAGGCTTGTAACACGACCACAAAATTGTTTCTGAGTCCTGGCAGTTTCCTGTCAGGCATCCTTCCAGGTGGTTGCTTTCTCAGAGAGTCTATGGATCTCCAAAATAATTCCAGTGAAGTGGCTGTTAATATTCATGAGATATATCATTGCTTAGCCAGTGGGGTTACTGCATGCTCCACTGGATTCTAGTTATTAACAACAGTTTCCACGAGTACCAATATTCCAAATAAGCAACAAAATAGCTAAAGTAGAATAATTCTATGACTTACAGCAAGGGTTGCTCTCAGAATTGGAGAGTCTGAGAGACCACAGTGACCACCTCCAACCCCTTGATTTTAATTAAAACTCTTATGGATTAACTGGCCTGGGCTTATCACTGAGCCTCTCAACCATTTAACATTAAAACAACCAATCAAACAAAAACACTTAGCTTATCTGAGCATAGTTTTCCTCCTAAGAGCTGTGAACTTCCTCCTAAATTCCCTCAGAGAATAACAACTGTGCCATCTCTGTGTTGGATATATATTCTACAGACAGAATTTCAAAGAGATATTATTGTCCACTGCACTCTCCCAGCAATTCTGGCAGCTGTGACAGCCAAAGAAGAGAAAAGGCAAATATGAACACTATGCACCTCACACGGGTACCCCCAGTCAATCAATCCACGGCACACTTCTATTCAGTCATAAAAAATGTACCATGACAAATATTAACAATGACAGATAAAGCAAACATTAAACTTGTCTTCCAGTCAGGGCGTGAAATCTGCATTTTTAACTATGCAAACTCCACCATGGCCCATCCTAAAATCATTTTGCAGAGTAAACTAAACATTTCAAAAGAAACAAGTTTACTATATCCACTCTATGAAGCTAGATAACCCTAGAACATAACTAAAAATTTTATTTCACAGGATAATTTTGGCATGTTACCAATAAATTCTACTCGAAGCCTCAACTTTCAATAGGTGCTTACCTCCTCCCCTTTGGTTTCTCAGAAAATAAAAGATTAGCATAGCGCTAGTCTCCAATATTCACTGAATGACGTGAACATGAATTTAGAAGTAATAAACCGGCAGTAACAATGAAGATGATTGTAAATGATATTCTTCCAGCCAAAAGGAATAAAACAAATATAAACTGGACATATTTACTGGATACGAAGTCCAAGAACGTGAGTTAAGGACACACAGTGGTGTGTCAAGAAAACAAAATCCACAGTACCCACCTATGTATGAGGAGTTAAAAGTAATCTCTGCATTAGGACTAAAGATCTGCCACAGGAAAATCTTTAAATCTCAAGAAAATATTTAAATATCTTTGGTATCAATTTAAATTTAACATCCTTAAATATCAAGAAAACATCAATCTTTCTAATATCAAGAAATAACTCATCTTTTCCCACCGCTAGACGAAAAGGGCATTTGAGACTGACCTGGAAATTCAGTGTCCCATATGGCTACAAAAATAAGGACAACTAGAAGTAGTTATGAATTCTAGGAAATATATTCACAAGTGTGTAAAGATTCTACGGTATTGAACACTTAGTCAAAAGAGTCCTACTTGAATTCTCAAATCAATGACCAAGTTGCTTCCTCTCTACCCAAGATCAGGAGCTTCCCTAGTTTGCACATGTCCATATTGACCAGTGGATATAAAGTCACACTGCGATTATCTGGGTCATTTAAAAATAGGTCATTAGTAGTATGGTAGTATCGCGTCTGTCTAAAAATCCTCCAAGACCGAGTGACTTTTAAACTTTGGGGTGCCTTGGTAACCCCAGGGACGCTTATTAGATGTGCAGACTCCGGGGCCCAAACTCCAGACTCTAATTCCATGGGACTAGGGAGGGGCTCGGAACCAGTATTTTTAATCATCTGCCCGGGTGAACCCGAAGTGTCGTCCAAAAAGCCACACTCGAGGCGCCTCTGCCTAACAAGCTCCACTGAGGGCGCCGACTTCAGCCGCCCCGGCCGCGATACGGACGCCGTTAGGCTGTCGGGGGTCTGTCTGGGGGCCGCGGGAAGGGGCTCGGGGCCGGCGCGTCCGCTAGCGACGTCCGGCCCCTGAAGTGAGAAGGGACTGACAACGGCACCGCAGTTATTTTCAGTATTTCCATAAAGTCCCACGAAGCCGTGTGGCCGTGGGAAAAGGGCTTTAACTTTGAAATCCCACGGGTCTAGGTTACCACCAGCTCTGCCGTCTCCTAACAGCGCGTCCCAGCAGTTGCCTTAACGTTTGGGCCTCAGTTTCCCGATCCGTGCAACGGGCTCACGCCATCCCCGGAAGGCTGAGCGGAAACGAAACTAACTCCGCCGCTCGCAGGCACTTCCTGACTCTCCTCAGCGCGGCCCAGCCTCCCCAGCCGCCCCGGGAGGACGACCCAGCCGAAGCGCGTCGCGCAGGCGGCCGCCTCCTAACGCCCCCGGCCCTCGGCCGGCCACTCACGGGTAGGCATGGCGACCTCGACCGCGCTCGCCGCGGCACCGAGGCTCAGCGTGGTCGCGCAGGGAGCGCCGACGGCACCATGACGGCCGTTGCACGACCGCGGAGGCCGAGACGAGGCGAAGGGCGAAGGGCGGAGGGAGCGGACGCGGACCCCGCGGTCACGCAACCGAGCGGGCGACAGCTACCGCCGCCAGCCCGGTCCCCGCCGGGCGACGCGACGGACGACCCACGCCCGTTACGTCAGCGCGCCGCTGCCGTCCCGGCTCCGCCCCCGCGGACGGCCGGGCTCGGCCCAGGATCCCTTGTCTAGCGGGTGTACTGAGTGACTGGGGACAGCCACGTAGAACAACTTCGGGTGCTTTCTGTTGCCAAAGCCTGGTGACCTGAGTTGCATTCGTTTTCCTTGATCTCTATTTGGAGTACATCACTTTACGTTTGTGAGGATGATGGCTTTGAGCGCACGGAGTATCTGTGGGCTTTTTCTTTTGCAATCGGTTTAACTTGCAATGCGTTTTGCATACTCTGAAAGCATGGTTTATTTGAGATGCACTAAGGTCATTTGGGGTGATGGCTGCTCATTTTTTGAGAAGACAGAAAATGTAATTTCCTTTTGCTCTTGTGACTTTCAGAGCGACCTTACGCCTCAGGAGTTAGTCTCCTCTGGAGAGGGCAGGTACTGTGCACTTGGCTGAGCTACTCTTCTTGACTCTGGGTGTCATTAATAATTGAGATATCTAATAGTCACCAAGTTGAGCAGACACCGGGAGCCAGAGAGCTGAGCAACGCACGTACACTATGCTAGGCGCCATGGGCTGAGGACAGCCCATATGGAGATATAAAAGTCAACCGCAGAGGTCTAACACTGCCTTCCTCAAAGTGGGTCAGAGTGGTCCAGGATCGTTTTGTGCTTGGATCCCCTGGGGACCTGTTGTAAAGCAGATTCCTAGGTGCTGAACCAAACCTACGAACACATATACAGATGATTTAAATACAATTTTAATTTTGAGAAATTTTGTCCTAAAAAGTAGCGCTAACATTCAGATTAAGAAATGATATTGTGCAGTACTGGGAGGAGAAGATGAAGAAGATGAAGATCAGAGCCAGGAAGCGCTGAGGAGAAATTAGTCTTGGCTTGAGGTGGACTTGGAAGAAAGCAGAATTTGAATTAGCAAAGCCTAAGGGAGACCTGAAAGAGGCTGGAGAGAGGGCGGAGGGTAATTTAGAGTGAGTCACAGCAGCTGGGGAGAGGAGAGTGCGTACTGTACCTATAAAAGAGACTGTCCAGCGGGGCACGGTGGCTCACGCCTGTAATCCTAACACTTTGGGAGACCGAGGCCGGCGGTAGGCGGATCACCTGGGGTCGGGAGTTCAAGATCAGCCTGGCCAACATGGCGAAACCCTGTCTCTACTAAAATTACAAAAATTAGCCGGGCGTGGTGGCGCATGCCTGCATTCTCACTCAGCTACTTGGGAGGCTGAGGCAGGAGAATCGCTTGAGCCCGGGAGACAGAGGTTGCAATAAGCCGAGATCGGGCCTCTGCACTCCAGCCTGGGCAACAGAATATGACTCCTCTCAAAAATAAATAAATAAATAAATAAATAAATAAATAAATAAAGAGACTGTCCCTTGCTAACAGTAAAGACCAAACTACCAAGTGCTTGGCCAGCACTTATTCATGTTTCAATGCCTGTTGCATATTTTATCATCTATAAAATCTTTCCTGCTCCCAGTTTTCTCCCTAAGACTTTGGCATTATCTTGATTCCTCTCTGCTACAGCACTTTCCCCACTGCATCCTAAATAAACTGTCATGAGTGCTTGTGTTTTACCACGGGCCTATATGCTTTTCAGAAAATGGGAAAAGCCATATTCTGTTCATATTTATGTATCCTTGGCTGGCACACAGTCGGGGGCCAGAGTATGTTAATTCAAAAACTGTATAAATAAAGGATTTGATTCAAGAGTGTGAAAACAAAAACAGGTAAATAAAACTAGTTAATAATCAACTTTACATTCAACCTTGGAATTTGTCTTTTAAGAAACTGTTCTGTGATTTTTACAAAAAGCATAACAGTAGCATTAAATGATCAGAAACAGGGCCTTGCAGGGGGAATGGTGTGTGGTAGAGAAACTGTGGAGGTAGGCAGTCAAATCGGAAGGCCTCAATACAGGAGAGAGTGTTAGGTATTTAGTCTTGGTGGTGGCTCTGGAAAAAGAAAGAACTGAATCTTACTGTAGGAGAAGAATCCCTGGGATTTGTTGGCTGCTGACTAGGGAGTAATAGAGAGGCATCTGTTAGTTATGTAACTCCAAGGTTGGAACAAGGAAAGTGGTGGTGCTGGAGAGCAGTAGACGAGTCAGGAAGAAATGCTGTTTTAGGGAAGGGGTGTTAAGAAAGGATGTGAGTTTCTCCTTGACATATTGAGCTTGACGTGACATCAGAGGGAGACATCCGAGTGAATGAATCTGAAGGCAGCTGGGAAAGCCAGGATGAAGGTGGGCTGAGGGATCTCAGGGTGGGAGGTTTGGAAATCTTTGGTCCTGGGACAGGAACTGAAGCAGGGTGTCAAAGAGAGCCCTTTTAGGGAGGATGTGGAGCCAGTGAAGGCACAGAGAGAGACGAGATCTACAGGGCACAGTGCCCCAGGAGCCAAGGAAGACACAACTCCAAAAAGCAGACATCTCTGCTTACATTACCTTGAAAAAGATGCAGATCCCAAAGGCCCCGAAATTGTCCTGCACATACTGTTTTTGGGTTTTTTTTTTTCCTGTTTTTAATCCTCTTGGTCTTTTGGTTTTGTATTGTTGCCAGAAATAAAAATCAGCAGCCAAAGATTCTGAGGAAGGACAGCTGAATGTCAGGAATAATAGTGTCATAATGTTTTGATTATACATACAGTACCTACGTGGTTTTTTTTTCCCTAGTTTGTGCACGTCGGTAGCAATGTTACCATACCCTTTCCCTAACCTATTCTCTGGATCAGAGTTCTGCCGGTGTATCCCCTGCAGCCAGCCCCCGCTTCTTTTTTGATTTGGGTTTTTTTTTTTTTTTTTTTTTTTGAGACAGAGTCTCACTCTGTCGGCCAGGCTGGAGTGCAGTGGTGCGATCTCAGCTCACTGCAGCCTCCGCCTCCTGGGTTCAAATAATTCTCCTACCTCAGCCTCCCAACTAACTGGAACTATAGGTGCATGCAACCACGCCTGGCTAATTTTTGTATTTTTAGTAGAGATGGGGTTTTGCCATGTTGGCCAGGCTGATCTCAAACTCCCGGCCTCAAGTGATCTGCCTGCCTTGGCCTCTCAAAGGACTAGGATGACAGGTGTGAGCCACCACGCCTGGCCCTCCACCCCCTACTTCTGAGAGCAGTGAGTCTGCCATCATCTTTGATACTTGGTCTTAGCCCCTCTTGGGGCACCTTCTTCTGTCCCCTTTTGCAAACACCCTTCCCCTGTCTATCCCCATGTGTCAGTGCTCCTCTCTTAGAGCCCAGTCTGGGCTGGCAGGAACTAGGATTTAGCCATCTCCCTTGGTGCCCACACTGCCCAGCTCTTGTCCTGGACATTGTGTGTGGTAGACATGGAGATGAGCCACCAGATCCCTTTAAGAGAAGATGCACTGCCTTGGCATTTGAGCCATTTAGTGTTTGAGCTCAGTATTTGAGGTGACGTTTTTGTCAGGGTGCAGGGCAGGCAGAGTGCGCTTTCTAATATGCAAATCTAATGATACCTCTGATATGGTTGGATATTTGTTCCCTCCCAATCTCATATTGAAATTTGATCCCCCAAATTGGAGGTGGGGCCTAGGTGGAAGGTGTTTCGGTGATGGGGGTGGATCCCTCATGAACAATTTGGTGCCTTCCTTAAGGTAATGAATAAGTTATCTGTCGGTTCCTGCAATATCTGATTGCTAAAAATTGTGTGGCACCTCCTTTCCCTCTCTCATGCCATGGGATGCCTGCCTCCCCCTTCCACCATGAGTAGAAACCCCCTGAAACCCTCACCAGAAGCAGACACTGGCACCATGCTTCTTATACAGTCTGCAGAACTGTGGGCCAAAAAAAGCTCTTTTCTTTATAAATTACCCAGCCTCAGGTATTCCTTTGTAGGAATGGAAATGGACTATGTATGACCTCTCACCTGCTAACACTTGTCTATGGCTCAGTAGAGTGTTCAATCTACAATTCAAACCCCTTAGCTTAGCACAGGAAGCCTTTCAAGGCCTGATATTGAAAGCTCTTCAGTTCCCCCACATCACAACTTACACTCATTAGTGCACAATTCTCAGAAACCACTCTGCTGTAGCACTCTTCCATTCTTTTGTCCATGTTCTTTGCCCTGCTGGAGTGGGCTTTTCTCTCCCCTGCTCTAGCTAACTTCCAAAGTCCTTGTGAGTGTGTAGTGTAATTAAGTATGCCCTATGACCTGGAGATCATCCTCCTGGGAGTATATGCTGGAAAATTTCTCACCAGGGTCCACAAGGAACATGGATAAAAGGTTCATTGAAGTGTCGTTCATGGTAATGGGGAGTTGGAGGCCACCTAGGCGTTTGTCACTTGCAGAACATGGTGCATTCATACGTATTGTGGATGCACATCAGCAACATGGCTTGATCTTAAAAATGCAGAATTGGCCAGTCTCAGTGGCTCACGCCTGTAATCCCAGCACTTTGGGAAGCCAAGGTGGGTGGATCACTTGAGCTCAAGAGTTCGAAACCAGCCTGGTCAACATTGTGAAACCTCGTCTCTACTAAAATTACAAAAAATAGCTGGGAATGGTGGTGGGCGCCTGTCATCCCAGCTACTTGGGAGGCTGAGTCAGGAGAATCACTTGAACTCAGGAGGCAGAAGTTGCAGCAAGCCAAGACTACGCCACTGCACTCCAGCCTGGGCAACAAGAGCGAAACTCCATCTCAAAAAAAAAAAAAAAAAAAAAAGGCAGAATTAAGAGGCATCAATATTTATAGCATGGTACTATTTGTGTCAATTTTTAAAAAAACATGCACATAGAAAACATGGATCTTAACAATGATATATAAGGAGGTGAAGGGAAAGGGAGTGAGAATAGGGAAATAAAATTAACAAAAAAAGGGCTTTGAACAGAAAGATGACAATGTACAATGAAAAAGGAGTGTGATTGCTGTAGTCTTTGCAACTGATTTTTTAAAAAAAGGATTAAATTATTTTCAAATATCACTAAGTACAAAAAAACCTTCCAAGACCTCTAAGTTG